GTTCTAAGCACACGCGCATGTTCACTCGAGCACGTCACAATTTGACGGACCGCGTTTGCTTCTCCGTCCTGCGTTGACTGTACCGGTAAATAAACATTTGCATGACTGGGAAATACGTGTTACGTGATGTTTGCTGGGTGAGGTGAGTTGTTCCATGAGGTCGAAGTGTACTATTTTGCGTCATCGTAATGGTTGTGAAGTGGATGTTCATAGATGTGGTTACTTGGGTAACTTGGATCATAGGGAGAGGAAAAAATGGATTTTTGTTAATTATCGATGGTTAAGATAGGAGTGATTGCACTTTATGGACAATGTATATATTTTTAATGTATGCGAATGTTCAGCGTTAGTAATGTCCTCGGAGGAAAGTTCAAGCGATGACGGGTCGAGAGGAAATGCTCAGGAAAGCGAATCAGAGGACGATTCCATAGCTGAGCAGCAACAACAAAGTATGGCCACATCATCAGATGATGACGACGAACAAATGCAGAAGGAAGGTGGAGCTTCAATTTCTTAATTTGCGCTGAAGTTCATAGGTGATATATTTACTGTTATTACTGTGGTTGATAATTATGAATTTTTATTTCCAGGGAAAAGCTTTACTACTGAAAAGAGCAGATCTCCATCACTAGAAGGACAAAACATAGCTTTAGCTGGAAGTGATGATGATTCGGATGCTACTTCAGAACGTCGCATAAAACCAGAGGAAGATTCCGATGCTTTGTCGGAACGACAACCACTTCCTATTGTTTCTGATGATTCTGATACAGTTTCGGAACGGGAGACAAATGAAGCTAGAGAATCCGATGATAGCGAGAAAGACGGTGACAATACATCGAAGAGTCCTTCAGAAGCAGATGAAGTAGAGGAGAAACAAGAGCTTAAAGATATTGCGTTATCAGAAAGTGATAGCGATAAAGAAAGTGGCGACGATCGAAAGGTTATATTTTCTCGAGTCTCTAAGATTTTCGGCAATCTCGGGGCAAAGCTAATACTTTACTAATTGTAGAGCCACTTTAAATCTTTACCAAGTCTGTAGAACTTCATTAAATTACATTACTTTTATTTTATGTTAGTCGGAGAAGAAGTCCATTGCCACTTTAAAATTTTATAGTTGCAAATAACGTAAATGAGGTGTTGCGGGCAGAACACAGGGCATGTTATTTGATGCTTTTTTACAAATTTTGAAGAATGGATATATCAAGTTTAGTACACGCTACCAGTCGAAAATGGGTCTAACCTCGAAAAATTTTAAAGTCCTTATTGCATATCAAATAATTTTAAATGTCATCATTAATATCATGTTGACTTGAAAGTGACATATGTTTGATAAGATTCTTGCTTCAGTAGTTAATTTCACCACTCAGCACGATGATTTTAGGAATTGACAGAGGATGACATAGTTGGACCGCGTTTGTACCCTGATCCAGAAACAGGTGTTGCAGATACTGAACGTCTTGAACCGACAGTTGTTGAAGTTAACACTGCACGAATATGTCCAAAATTTACTAACGAAGGACTATATTTTGTGAAATTTCCAAACTTTTTGAGTATTGAACCACGTCCATTCGATCAAGATCATTACGAAGATGAATTTGATGAGGATGATTTGCTGGATGAAGAAGGACGTGCTAGACTGAAGTTACGGGTGTGTACTCTTAGTATTCGTTATGGTCATAATGTTTTGCAGATTAACAAATACTTCAAATGCGCAACATTTGACATTTATAACGATTTTTCAAAACCCAACGTCGAATGAATCGTTTAATGTTAAAAGCTACTTTAATGCTAAGTCTACGTTCTAACTAAATCTTTATTGCTTAAGAAGTTAAAATTGCTGTAACCAATATAAGAATACAAACATTGTTTTAACATTCGATGAAGTTGCTTTCCTTTTATTACACAATTACAATTCCCGTGCAATATCTGCGGTCAATAGTTGTCGTTGCCAGCGAAATCAATTACTCTTTGATTGTGCGGCCGGCACAACCGTATAGCCGGCAGTTGATAAAAAGTAGCAACATTTACTTTCTTACAGTAGTCACACATTAATTCAATTGAATCATTGCCTATTTTTTGTATAATGATCTTAAATTGCTTTGTTTGCAGGTAGAAAATACAATTCGTTGGCGTTATGTGTTAGACGATGATGGTAATATACAGAAACAAGGGAATTCAAAAATTGTTCGCTGGTCGGATGGAACGTGTGTTTCTAGCATACTGTTCTCTTTGTAAATCTCTTCGATTCATTATGTATTGGAATTTCGGGAGCTATCTGTTAAAAAGACTTTTAGGATGTCTCTTTATCTTGGTGGAGAAATTTTTGATATAACGGTACAGCCGATGCAACTTGATAATCATTTATTCTTGCGACAAGGCGCGGGCTTACAAGGACATGCTGTTTTCAGGCAAGTTTCATTTTTCAATTTTCTAGCCGAAATTCTACTTCTTTTTTTACCAAACATAAGATATGCTTCATTTTATTGTTCAGCTGTAACACATATCCGAATAAGGAGATTTTTTTATGTGAACAAAATGGTTTAAGAAAGCCTTCTTTGTTTTCTTTATTGCATACGCAGATTTTGGATAACAAACATTTTTTATTTAGGGAAAAATTAGTGTTTCGGCCGCATTCAACTGATTCCATTACACATCGGAAAGTTACCTTGTCAATGGCAGATCGATCTAACAAATCGCAAAAAGTGAAAGTTTTGACTGCAGTCGGTTCGAATCCAGAATCAAAAAAAGCGGTACGATTTGGCCATTCATATTCAAACTAATTATCTGCATTCTGGAATGTAATAAGGATTATCCTTTCAGGAAATAGTCCGAAAAGAGGAAGAGCGTATGCGTGCTCAAAGTCGTCGTGAAGCACAACAGAGGCGTAATCGTATGCGTCCATCTGTAGGTCGATCAGGGTTGACCGCTAACTTCTTGGAAGATAGAGACGAAGATTCTGGTATTTCCTGTTTTTTTCTTTTTGCCACTTATTTTTGATTTACTGGAACAACACTTTTTTTATGGAAGAAGAGTCAACAACGTTTTTTTTTTTACAGACGAAGAGTCAATATCTGCGATCAAGAATCGTTACAAGCACGGTTTAGATGATAGACCATTGATCGGCCATTCAGATTCTGAGGATTCAGATTCCAAGCGATTGCATGATGCCAAAAAAGATAGCGAAGACAGTGACAGTGACCAGGTTATCACTTAATATTATTCATTTAGTATTATACTGTTAGCTGTATATTTTTCATAGGTTTGAGTTTTGGAAGTTACTATTAACAAAGGAAATTTTTTGAAATCGACTGTTTATCTGTGATTTTTTATTTATAAATTGAAAGGGATTTCACATTGCAGGAAAAGAGAAAACAGAAGAAGAGGAAAGTAATTATTGAAGATGACGACGAAGAAGAGAATTAGGATTTATTTTTTTGCATGTGTAGATATCACTTATACTTCACTTTTATTTTTTGATGTGAGATGTGACTTTCTTAAATTCATTGTTGGTGGTTCATTAATACAATATGACTAGCTTCTGTGTGAATTATAGATACAAAAGTTTTTTCCGAAGGACAGAATCAAATTCAGGTTTTCTTGAATTCATAGACGAAATTGATATTACGGATTTATAGCAATGAACAAATAATTTTTTGACTCTTAGCTCTTTGATGTGATTTTGTTGATTTATTAAAAATTTGAAAGTTTACAGTTTCTAATTTCTCTACCGTCCGTAACGGAAGCCAATGATTGCTTTTAAGTGACTTTCTATCACATTATTTTCAAGTATTTGTCTTTCTTAGCATTCAGATGATGCAAAGGTTATTCATCCGTTCGAATTTGTAAGTGTACTTCATCATCATTTTAAAAACTATAGTCGGCTACCTAGAAAGTTAGGGGTTTAAACATTTAGATCCTCAGTGTCGTTAGAAATTTATAAAATCGACTATAATTGAAAGATTTATCTCATTTTATATTAGTTGACTAATTTACATTAATTTATTGCGATATATAAAATCCCACAGACCGTTAGTTTTGCTCTCATTTCACTACAATGGAAACTTATCTTGATTGAATTTGTTGCGAAAATAACTACTGCGATCAGATGCCTAATATAGCAACGTACTAATTTCATTATTTTAAAAAGATGACTAGTGTAAAGCAGTGGAGGCATCAGTCACTGGAAGCCGATGGATCGAGTCAGAAAAGTGTGGAGGACAAAGATTCTGAAATTGTTGCAAGTGCATATGATGAAGAATCAGTCGATGATGAGGATACAAAACAATCGTCGTCCGTATGTCGTGCGGAAAAATCACTTGGCATATTAACCCAGCGATTTGTTGATTTATTACAACGAGCACGAGGTGGCATTGTCGATTTGAATGTTGTGAGAATTTTTGATTTATTTTCGTATCTACTGATATATTGTAGAATAATGAAATCATCGTTCTTGATATAATTCCTGATTCATCTCTTTCACCTTCGTTCTCAGAGTGTCAGATTCGCGTTTGCTATAATTTTACATTTTCAAGCATCTGAAAGTTTTTTCTTTATCTTTTTTCATTTGATTAATAGAGACTGAATTAACCAGGAAGAGAACGACTACTTCAAGCGGAGCTTACTTAAGTTATGGTTTTTGATTTGAATTTCTGTGATCGGAACATAATTGATTTTGAAAACTTATGTATTCTAAAGGCGGCTGAAGAGCTACAAGTGCGACAGAAGCGAAGGATATACGATATAACCAACGTGCTGGAAGGTATCGGATTAATTGAAAAGAAGTCGAAAAATATTATTAATTGGAAGTGAGTTTCAAATTGTACTTGATTTATGATTTTTTTGTTACTTCATGATATTCTTTTAATTAGTTTAATGTGAGTTTCCTTTAAAGAGGTGGGAAGCTAAGGAAGCATGGTTCTTTCCCGGATACTGATCCTGAAGAACAGAAACGTATTTTGAAACGGAAGGCTGAGTTGGAAGAGCTGGAAAAGGAAGAACGCATTCTCGATACCCATATTAAATGGATGAAACAGGTCTAAGTTGTGATCATTCCGATATCTATGCTTTCATTTTTCACTGCTAGCTATTTTTATTGTTTTTGTCTCTAGATGTAATTATAAAGTTTAATTTCTAGAGCTTGCGAAATGTTAGTGAATATCAAAGAAACATGAAGTTGGCATATTTGACGGAAGAAGATATACTCTCTGTTTTTGAAGATAGCCGGGTTTTTGCAATACAGGCTCCTCCTGGGACCTTCGTTGAAATTGGTGCACCACCAAGGGTTTGCCTTATTTACATAGTTTATTGAATTCATTGTTTGTTTATCTCTATTGTTCTTCCTTTCCACATTGCGGATTTTATTTTTCATTTGAAACTGAGATATACAGATGCGTGATTTTGATATGCAATACAATTTACGACTGAAAAGCACATTTGGCCCGGCGAACGCAATATTATTGGGAGAAATGAATAGTACTCAAAGTCAAGGCGACTTATTTACTAACAAATCCCAGGTATTCTAATGGTATTTATAATCCTCAAAGAGTAAATAATTATAAATATTTATTACAATCTTTTTTTGAGATTCAGTTATCGAAAATTTTACTAGAACATCAGTTGCAGTCTATGCCATACGTTGTAGAGGGTGAGGTACCCGGGCAGTTTTTAGAGGAGGATGAAGATGAAAGTGTGCTGAAGAAAAGGCGATTAGATGAAGAATTTGGCGACCAAGCCGATCCCGTATTACCTTTTGTTCCATCTCGTAAGTAATGATTCTCCGATTATATCATAAAATATTTGAAATATTATAATGGAAGAATGGAAATGATGTAATGTTAGATAATATATTTATAAAAGGATGATTATACAAATTGACTGAGGAAGTTTTTTATGGTTCAAAGTTGTATTGTTTTCAGAAGGCGAACATCAGAAATCATCTGAGCAAGGGTGCAGTTCTCTGCAATCACAAACACAAGCCAGTCTCACATTTAGTCAAGGCAATTTCTTTTTGAATATACTTCCACTCTTTTTTCTGCAGAAAATTTTGATAAGCTTGATTTTCTTTCAGAAATTCGAGAAGTAATGAGAAAACTAAGCCCGCCACCCTCCGAACGTGATTATATTTTTAGTTTGAGTCAAGGCGAAACATTATCGGACCTTTTTGAGGATGATCTCATTTGATATTCTTTTGATGATATTTAAACGTGTATATGGAAAAGTTTAAAGTGTATATTCTTTATTAATCTTGTTTTTGTTCAGTTAGTTGATCCTATACATCCAATGCTTCTTCTTTGCTTCTCTTTTTTCTCTGTTCACTCATCTATGTTTAGTATTAGTTATCTTCAAATCTTTGTGTTGAATTAGTTCAAATCTAGTTTGTTTCATAATTCTTCTGATTCTCTAATGTGATTAATATTATCGGATTCAGCACTTTTATAAGTACCATTTTTTTGCTACTAATTATATATTTTGATAAAGGAAATATACTGCCTATAAACCTGCTGACCGTTGTACTTCAACACGCAGTTGTGCAGAGTTTAGAATAAAGATAAGAAACCATAGTGTATTTTGAAGTTTACCCATATCAGTGTTTTTTGCTTGATTCAGATTGTTACTTTGTCATTGTGTTCAATACAGTTGTATTCGTTGATATTGCTACAATCCTTATATTGTTTTATTATATTGAGTGCAATGCAAAGAAGTAAAAATTTCAGTTTTACGATATCTTAGATAAGTTATACATATGTAAAATGCATTTTATTTTGATAAAGGATCATCAGCCTACTTATTTTGCAACATTAATAAAGTCTCTTGCTTGAAACTTGGAATACCATGGTTAAATAGTTAGTGAAATTACCAACTGTTAATGGTTTCCTCTCGACCTAGTTATGAAAGTTTTTATTGATCCAATGCAAAACTCTTCAAATCGCTATAACTTCAAGAGGATTTTCATTAAATCCACTCAAATTACATTATTACACTACTTTTCGAGATCCAAACATTGATGTGTTGTGAAGTAGAATTCAGTTCTTCCAACTTTTTAAACGTTTTGGGAGATTCAAATTTTCAAATTCGAAGTAACACTTTCATTTTATTTTTTAAGATCTGTTATCGATTTGGATGTAATGTCCCATGAGGTCGAAACTGTGGGATCTCCTTCAAAGTCTGCTGTTGGTTAGTCCTTAAAAATTTTCAGTGCTTGTTTCTTGGATGAAGGAACTGTAATTTTGAGTTTCACTACTTCAAAGTCGATTAAAATTTTTTCAAAAAAGAAAAAAATGTTTAAAAATTGCGGTTTACATCTAAATTTGCAGTGCTTTCAGTTAGGTAAGCATTGAAAAGTAAGCACAGATAGGTAAGAGACTAATGATACTGAAAAATATTAATTAGGTAAGCACTTTCAGGTAGTTTCAGTGGACAGAACACATCATCTGAAACGACGAAAAAATCGAAGATTGTTGAGTAGGTTTTGTTTGTGTTATAAAGGATCATATATTATTGTTATCATTTGGTTAAACTTAGCCATTCCTATTTTCGTATTCTGAACTAAATTTGACCATGTCTGGAAAATGATCAAATTTTTGACTGTAAGTAAATAATGATAGACATTCATAGAAATTGAACTTTCTGATAGAAATTTATGCTGTAGGATTCATTTCGATCCGTTGGTGATGCACACTATTTCATTGTTACGGTATAGTCGTAAAATTAATTACTATCGAGTAAGAATGGGACGGCCGCCTTCATTACCTGTATTCAATCCAATTAAATTAAAACTGCCTGATTCGTAAGTGGTTTAGAACACTTTAGTTCTTTTTTTTAAAAAAAGATGGAAGAAAAAGGATCTTCTGAAATCTTTTACTGGAATTTTTTTAGAAGCGAAATTGTATGCTAAAATACTTTTTTTTCTTAATGTTTTTAAAAATTGTGAAAATTACAGGCAGGACATGGCGAATGAGTTTTCGGAGGAGAATGTGCAATTATTGCTCAGAAAAGCGATAGCTGTTCTAGCGGCTCATTTAGGTTTTATTAGTAGGTTAATGCTTCAAAATACTCGTTAACAATTTAGATTCACGGTTGAATTTCTATCTGAATACAATACAATTTATCAAACATTACTTGATCTTTTTTAACATTTGATTTTATTTTGCTACTTGGAGTAGACTGTTGAAGTAGGTTATTGAAAAATTTTATTCAGAAATGGAATCGTCTGTGGCATATCTCCTATCACGCGTTGTAGCTGCGAGAATTAAAAGAATGTGTTTGAACTTGAATCTTTCACACCAGCGGCGAGTAGAGGGCAAAGAAACAGCATTCCCTGTATGTCGCTTCATATTTCTTATCTAATTTTATAAAAATCGAAATACTTTTCACTTCCATGGATTTTGGCAATATTGTTTAATAAAATGCCAGAATCTAGGGCCAAAACGAGAACTAAAAAAAATAAGATTCAGTCCCAAACGTGATTACATATGAAGGACGTACATGTCTTCCTTAAAAAGAAGTTTATAAATTGTTAGAATTCTTGTTTAATCTATTCAGTTATTAGTTAGACATCCTGTTCTAACAAACTGATAACAGTAATGTCGTTATAACTTGTTTGAAATGTTTGGATATATATAATCCGTTCGGATGTATGCAATATTTAACGCAATGTATAGGCGATAAAGAAAGTCGAAGAAATAATTTCAAAAATTTCAGTCAGCATTGATGCATGCGCTTCGCTTGGAGAATATTAGAGATGTCACAGAACTGCAAGAATTCTATAGGAATCGTGTCACCTTCTATCACGATCGAATGTTACTTTCTTGTACACAAAAATATGAAAAAGCGGCAAAAAAATTTGCTCCTTTTCAAGCTGAGAAAATTAGTGATTTTACGGATGAAGGTTCCTTGAAATGTGTTCCTTAAAAGTTGCAACCAAAGATAATGAAGACAGGCAAAAGTAATATTGTCTGTATTCTTGCTATTCTTATTATATGATGACGTTGCATGTTAGTTTAGTTTCTGCAGGTTTCGGTCTTCCAGAAAACTATCATTTGTGCTTTAAAAAAAACGAATTTTCCTATAAAACTTTCCAACTTGTTTACAATCTCAAGCTTAATGAGAAAAATTGTATTCGAAATGTATAAATGTAGTTCAAAAAAGGAATTCAGATATGAGAATAAAGATAGCAAATAAGAGAGAAGCAGAGCAAGAATTGAAATTTGAAACTTGTAATAGTCTAGATTTAGCAAAATTAAATTTGTTTAATAAAATAAAAGTTTTGTTATATTTTGTGAGTAGATTACACTTATTCCAGTGGCACTCGAAATTAAATTGCTTTTCAAATACGTCCGATTATTCAGTTATCCTTAATAACAGTATATATGTAATGTGGCGCGTATATACATGAGAAAAAGAGGACTTACAATTGAGAAGGAAGGGTAGGATTATTGTTTTGATTATCTTTATCAATATAATGTCGATAATTATATTGATAAAGGTATTAAAGTTTTTGATTACATTACGTTTTTATAAAAACTTGAAAAAGGACGAAGTATTAATGAGCTATTATTGGTGAAAAATGGTTAAGCATAGATTTAAAAAATTCTACAGACTAATCAAAAATGCACCGTTTTAAGATAGTGCTACTCATTCTACTAAAAATTTTATCTGATATTTAATTATAAGAAAATAAAACAACGTATTAATTAATAATAAAATTCAAATTTGATAAAGTACAGTTAAAAAGCACTAATTAACATTTGAAGATTAACACATCCATTTCTTAGGAGTTAATGTTCTTTTTAATTACTTTAATCTAATTATTAATCATTTTTCTATTGAGAATTTTGCACCAACAAAAAAAAGAAAATGAAGCATATTTTTCTACAGAGATCGTATTTATTATGCATATCGCGATAAAATTTGCTAAAAAGTTTTGTTATTTATAAAAGATTAGTAAAGTTGTATGAGAATAAACCGATTGGAAATCCCAATTTATCTATCAGTAAGTTAACTGAGAAGCAAATTTACTAATTTAGTTAATTTGATTTAAGTTAAATGGAGTCTTTTCACGTATTTTTTGGCGCAAATTATAAATGTCATTTATTAAAAATTTTCCTTTGTAATTCTATTTTTCGATAAAGTTTACAGTTGATGAGAATCGATTGAAATACTTGTTAACTTTGTCAAAGTCCACAAACAAAACAAATACGCAAATAAACGAGTGGTTCTGAACTTTGGTAAGACATATTTCACAATAATGAAGAGTTAAAAAAAGATAAATACAGTCAAAAAGTAGACAGACAGAGAAATAATATGTAAGCAAACAACATTCATTCATAGAAAAAATGTAATGGTGAATATTTTCCAACTCGTTGGCACCAAATATGAACACTTTTTTTTTTCATAGAATTCAAATTTTCTGCTCCAACGTTTGTTACGTAATAATGCTATGAAAGCACAGATGACAATGTGAGGTAATGAGAAGAACACATCAACGATTAGGTCGATGCAAATAAAAACAACCAAAATAAGAATGCTGATATCACTGAAATAGGAAAGCCGTTGCTTCGTTATTTACCACAAATTTCGTTACTAACCCCCCCCACCCATTGGTCCCATCGGGCCTGCCGGTCCTTCTGCACCAGGTGGTCCTGGCAGTCCCGGTGGACCTTGAATTCCCTTTGGCCCTTTTGCTCCTTGATCTCCAATCGGTCCCTGCGGTCCCCGAGGTCCAGGCACTCCTTCAGGTCCTGGTGGTCCTCTTTCTCCATCATTCCCATCCGGTCCTGGCGATCCTGGCTCCAAACGTACCAGTTGTTGTGATGAAAGGCATGCTTGGACTGCCAAAACAGCATAGTTGATCAATAGAAAAGTGCCGAAAAAATGCATTTTGATTATGCCAATCTGAAAAATTATGATATTTTGAGAAAAATGATTTAACATTTGAAGTGAAATTTAATGAAGGTTCTATTATTTGGTGTATAAAATAATTACTTATCAGAAATGTAATTAATTCAATTGATCACCAGATTGATGGTTTTTACTGTTGACCAGTGAAATGATTCGAGACTGTTCGTTAAAGTAGTGATAATTCGGAGATCTGTTGATGTCCGAAGTAATAAGTGAGTTGCCGTATATATATTCACTCGGTGAGCATTGTTTATGGATCATTTAAAGGAAATTAACGGTAAACAAAGGATCATGAATCATCTAATAATGATCATTGATGGCATCCTTCAAATCTTATACACAAGGCATATCTTTCTCTTGAGATAATGATCATCTGATAATAATCATTGATGGTATTCTTGGAATCGAATATCAAAAGAATGAACAAGGAATCTCTTATCTTTTTACTAAAAAATTTCTTTAACGTAAGTGTTAATAATACCAAGACACTCTAATTATGCAAATAATTTTATATTATAAAGTTATTTCAGGTTGTCAACGATTATCGACAAGTTATATTTTCAAAAATTGCAATTTGATTATTTTTGCCGTTAAGTGATATGTTGTTGCATTAATCATTGAAATAATCCTAATGTTCAAATCTCATTGTTAAAAGGGAACAAGGAACTTAATTATCAAATAGAGTGTTATAACAGATTTTTTTCCATTTTTTCAAACAATTAACCATTATTTTCTTATATATGAGATTATTTAGTTTCAGGATATTTCGTTGCTAATTTGAAATTTATTTGCATAATTAGCAAAAGTTTCATCTCAAATAAAAAAACTGCAACAACTATAGTTAATCATTTTGTTTTTTTTTTTAAAAAAGTTTTTGCTCTTTTTCAAGGAAAAAGAAAGGTTTTTCCTTTTCTTTTAAAAGAATCATCAAAGACAAAACTGAGTGATCGATGTCGTGCCTTAATTTTAAGTCCATTACGTTTGATGCGAACATTTGTGAAAAGAAAGCGACTACATCGTTTAGTTATTTATTAAAACTGTATGTGAAGCATAAAAATTTTATGTATCATTCATCTGCAATAGCTCGCCTGGAATTGTGCTAATTGTTATTCATCGTTTAATGCAACAATCAGCAAATGTTTTCGACAAGTTACCAAATGCAATCCCATTTATGATAGGCTCAAATTTATGATGTGCTCAATAATTGCGTGTGAATGTATCGGATTATCGAGAGTTTGAAAATGAAACAAGCCATTCGAAATTTGCGAAGAATCACAAGTAATTTCAAAATATTTTCGTATCCCTTCTAACTTTAGAAATTAAATGATAAAAGAGAAATTGTAGTCTTAAACAGATAATTTAAACAGATTATTTGTTTTCCTGAGTATTTCATAACATTTTTCACTGATGTATTATTTAGGGAAAATGTTTATAATGAGAAAAACTGCAAAATTTGCTTAAATGTATAAAAGAAAACACCGGTATAGTAAAAATCAATCTTGTTCAGTTTTAAAATGATATTAATCTTACACATTTCAACATGAAATCAAAGCAAACCAAACTTCATACAACATAATATAATCTGTACATGAATAGGAGGCATTATTGAATTATAATCAAGAAAACATTATGAATAGGAAAGGTAACATTGTCATACATAGTACTATTCTCAGATTTATAATGTCATTATCAATTTTTTGTCATCTTAAATTATGAATTCTTTAGAAAGTTCAGAAAGCGCTATATGTCCTGTAGCAATGAAATAGTCCACTATCTGACAAGTATTTAAGCAAGACAAAAATAACAAAACATGATATTCTTTTTTCACAACTATTAGCAAATGGAAGCTATTTTTGAAAATTACTATTTTTTCATTTACAATTCTAATATCGCTACAAAGCAGTATTAGAAACACAAACGAAGAAATATGCCAGATGAACAATAATACCTATAAACAGCTTTTGCACTTCAGTCATAAATTTTTGAAATAGTTATGAAAATTTCCAAAAACACTAACTGCTGAAAGAAGTTACAATTCATTTTCTTAAATTATGTCATCAATATTCTGGAATTGCAACAGAATAAGTGATTAATATTTTATTAACAATAAACAAAACAAGATTATTTAAGATCATCATCATCCTCATCACCACATGATCGTTTGATTTTGACCAAAAGTGATGTGTGCCACTGATCCAAACGTGATATTTTATCAAATGCTTTCACTACTTCCGTAAACCTTACTTGATTTTTGTCTTCCAAACACGAAATTAATTCACTAAAAACAGAAAATAAAAGATACATAGGAAATAAAATTTGAAATACTGAAATATAACAATGAGATAGTAATAAATTAAATTATATTAAAATCATAAATATAACAAAAATTTCAAAAGTAACAGAAACTAACTTGACAAGTTTATATTCTCGCGAATCCACAAATGATGGAGAAATTTCCTCGTAGCGTTTCAGAGCATTTTGAGTATCTAGCTAAAAAAATTAAAATTTTAATGGTAAGATTTAACATGATATTAAAATCAGTAGCGAATTAAATTTTATTTGTTGCAGAATCCCCTCCCCCTCTCCCCTCATCTGTGTCACAAATCTTGTTATAATTAGTTGGACTCTCAGATAACACCATAATGTTTTGTGTTGTTGAGCACATGTCTTGCAGATTTTCTGTTAACTCCACAGCATGGATTATTCTCATTAACTTTGTAAAAATGCAATATATTTTCTATGTTTTTATAAAAATTGAATGAAGCACATCGCCGAAACCATCACGTTTTCTCTAAAGAAATGAAACAGTAGCTAACCAAATCAGAACAAAGGTGGCAAAGAAGAGCTTGGAAAAAGTGATTTTTCGCAGCATATTTTAAAGTCGGATGGTCAGCTTCCCAAGTAGCCACTTCTTCGAAAATTTTGATTGCTCTTTTGTAATCTTCCAGCTGTGCAGCATACTGAAAGCAGCACAAAAGCTACTCATGAAATATACGAAATAAAAATAACATCAAAATAAGCAAAGTCAAATATCAAGTGCTGGATTCCGTTTTAAAAATTAACTATTCACTTAAACGCATTTTGTTTTTCGAGAAGCACTGGTGAACATAAAAAAAGAAATCACCTGTGCAACTTTAATCATACACTTTGTAGCCGAACTTCGACTCTCTTCACCTTTATAAAAATCAGCCGCCTCCTGAAAACAGAAGTATGAATGATTACGATGATCTAACTGAAGAAAACTGAGTAGATATAAAAAATCACACCTGATAATGAGTCATAGCTTGTGTCATATCTGGAGCCTCACTTTCAAAAATTTCGGCCATCGTGCAATGATATTTAGCGGCCATATTAAAACGACCCATATCCGTGTAAAATTCAGCAGTCTTCATTAAGCAATCAATCGCTTGCTGAAAATATAATTCCGGTTAATTCATTAAATTCATTTCCAGCTTTAATGTACTATTTTGTAAACTTGTAAAAGATTTTAGTTTGGATTTCTTATTACATTTTATGAATTTCATTTATGACAATGACTGCAAATGGAATATCTCAAGTCATTAAACTACTATGAAACTGAGAAACGGCACTTCCAAAGTTTGAAGTAAACTGAATCTTCGACAAAATAAAAAATATACTATCTATATTACTCCAAATTCACAAAAACTGAATTATGACCATCAAACAAGAAATGGAGAATCCAGAAAGTTTACCTGCGGATTAACTTTACGATAACAATTGGCTGCTTCTGCGTAATTTGAAGCTGCATCATGTTTTCGATCGGCAGCTGCCGCATGCATTTCTGCAGATCTCACAAATGCATCACCCGCTTCTCTCCATGACTTCGATATTTTGAATAAATTCCCTGCCTTAATTATTATTAAATTGCAATATAACAGATGTATAACGATTCAAAACAATAATCAAAAAAAAAGCCCGAGATTACGAGACCAGCCATCTCCTCTGAATTATAAATACAAGAGCATTGATCAAAGCATATTTATCCCGAACTTGTTTTTTTGCTTCGATGTAAGCATCAGTTAATCATTGATATATCAAACCTTATATTAACTTTATTAGATGAATAAAAAGCATGGAGGCATTTGCAAATAAAGGAATAGTAAATAAGACATCCAATAAGATAATTTCTGCAAACAATGGAGAAACGCTATCTTTATGTATTTCCTCCTTTATTACCTTCTGCAGAGGAATCTCTAACATGCAACCTTTTATTCTGTACATAACCTGGAGAACTAACCATAAAATCAGTAAACTTATAATACCAACACTATAAGAACATAAATCGAGACAAGCAGTCAATTTTGATGAAGAATCTCCACCAATTGCTCCAAGTAATTCACGGCTAATTTTGCACATTTTATTTGTTCAAACAAACAAACTTCTTTTCCACAAACACCATAATGGGAAATTTGATAGTATATTGCAAATATTACGAATAGCCATCAGTAACTTCTTTTATATATTTTCATTTCATCGCTCTGTAAAAACTTTCATTCTGCTAGCTTCAAAAGTTGGCTCCTTCTGTTCACTGCCAAAGATTATTACTCGCGGTGTTCGAGGATACATATTGCAAGAAGTGCTAGCTTCATTCACTCTTGCTACTTCAAATTCTTTCCGTGGCAATTTCCTTCTTCTCAAAAATAGTGAAGGATCGCTAATGTTATGCACTTCTTGAGAGTGACAATTTCTTTCTTCTGGACTTGCGTATGTCCGGGAACAAGAAGCATCATAACATCGAAACAGCGCTATAGAAGAATTACGATCTCTTTTGGTCTTAAAAATCGAACAGTGATTCTCATCGGTATGAATTTCTAAACAATGTATATTTGGAAACTGCAGGCCGCATATAGCACACTGATACCTATGACATCGTTCATAATGATCTTCAAAAGTGGCGACATCATCAAAACTCATTCCACAACCATTTTCTTCGCATGCTAAGACGCTTTCTGACTCCTCCTAGAACTTTCCAAAGAAACTACAAAATCCAATCTAAACGTAAGAGGAATTAAAACGTATTACAAATAGACAAACTATATAAATTTAAGTGCAAGGAACTGAAAAGATATATGCAGAATCCAAACTCCAGAAATGTATCCTTTTTTGAGAAAGATTAAGCTAATTTTTGCAAACAACAAGAAAAACAAGTTCGGATCAAATATTGTGATTCCAGAACAAAACATATAAAATACTAACGAACTATAAAATACTAACTTGTACAAAAAGATCAGCAGCTTCTTCTGCTTTAGCATTACCAAATAAACCACTCAAAAATCCACTTCCACCCTTTGCTTTTTTCTCCGCATCTTCCAACTTCTTCCGGGCTTTAGCCTCGTTTTCCGCCATTAAAAAGCAATGAAAACGATATATAATCTGCTAAATCCACTCAGTCAATTTTTTCACCTAAAAATGTGAATTCAAAAAAAAGCCAAAAACTAGTTGAGGTGAAAATTCACGCAATATTAAATACGTAATTTAAAATATAAACTTGCCGTTTAATAATAAGGATGAAAAGTGAATTTTAAATAATGTAGCAGCAAGCCAATAATCAATGATACGTTGAATATTCACTCTCACTCTCATATTTCATCACTTATAAATAAATACCACCCTCTTCACATAACAGTATTTATAATCAAAGAGTATAGAATAACATTTGATGAGAAACATTACAATGTTTCAGATATCTCACCTTGGTAATTTAGAGAATTTATAGAAAATTTAAAAAGAGAAAAAAAAGAAGTCAGTATGATATCAAAGAATGATAGATCGATAGAAAGTGCAAGCCGAACAACTTTTGGGAGCAAATACGAATTATAACGAAAACATCACACAACAACAGTGTCAGCTTCTATTGATTTCCATTTTCCTAACCATCGGTAATCGTTTGCTGTCACTTTTTCCCTCATTTCGCCAACATTACTCTCTTTTCTCCTTTTTTCAGTTGCCTACAAACGCTCACTCACTCGTTATGCAGTAGAATGGGATAAATTTGCAAGGAAGAGATTAGCTGATTTCATTCTAATCAGTTCAATTCACTTCTTTGTTTGGTCCTCCATCCCTACTAAACAAATATTCTGCCTTTTACAAATTTAAATTTCTCATACTTTCAATACTGCTCAGGGAATTCAACTGGTTAAAAATAAAATCGATGCACGAATATATTCCTTGCAGTGGTTAAGCTCATTCAATTTACATTACTACAAATATATTCATCTTGGAGAATACTGCACTTAATAATTAATAATTTTGATCATTAGTGTATTGTTTAGTTTATAGAACTTTAGATGGAGTTACAGGCAGATGAAATTCAGCCACATATCAGATATGAATTGAAAATAGTGTATCGGTCAAATCAGTCAATCAATCGATGGATTAATCTCAGGAAGAGCAACAATCAATACACTGCCACAGGTGTCACTGAAGAAGCCATTCAATTTGTCTACCTTATCTAAAGGATACAATAACACAGCACAATGCAATCATCTAGCATTATCTCACTCAAGCTAAGCTCAATTAAGCTATGTCCTCCTCTCCCCTCTGACCAAACTTAGTTGACATTTATGATGATAGCTCGATCATCTATTCATTTTCATTATATTAATGCTTGAAAAAATTTAATATCCAATCTACAATGTATGAAAATTCAGAAGAAGCGCTTCCGATCATATCAACAAAGCAAGCTGCTTCTCTGCAATAAGCAGGAAATGTCCACTCCCATGCCAGCATTTCTTTCTTGGGTGTTCATTTCGGGAAAAGTTCCGAGGGATGGATAATGCATGACAGCACTAATGCCTCTGCCTCTCCTCATTTCATCCTATCTATTATACACATCTCTAACGTCCTGCTTCCCTCACTAGAAATATCCATGATTTCCCCCGATTCCTTTGGTAAATACAGCTCATTATCGTGCGGGAGATATAAAATGTATCATTCACAAACATCACCTTGTTATCATATATCACGCTTGTCGGATAATTACCCCCTTTGAGAATTCATTCCGGAAATATTACAGAAACAGGATTTACATAAATTTATTTAGAGTTGGCATATTACTTGCGTGCGAATCATTGCTAATATAAATTCACTTTGCAATATTTATCATACTTTATACGAACTGTAAGAGATGTTTAACTTGCCATGAAATTGATGTGCAAACCTGAAATTACGTTACGCCTATTGTGCATACAAGAAGAATAACAGACCATAACGCACACGCACACACACACACACACGCATACACACGCATACACACATACATACACCCATACACATACACATTTCGCTGTGATGACGATTTCACAACGTTCTGGTTGCTGCAGGGAAATCATATTGCATAGCCAACGTCGTGCAACCATAGAAATGTTACGTTTGACATTGCATGTCTGTCCGTATTTCTGCTTTTCAAGTTTACATGGCTCGTTTTCACGTTCATTTTTAGCTTTCTCGTTTTTACGTACTTCCATTGTCTACAGTATTTCACTGTTACAAACTTCATTACCATCAAATAAAATAACTTTGCATCTTGAGCTATTGTGTGAAGCTCAGTGTCGTCAATATTTATTAAATTCCTCGTATTTAGATCTTTTTATGTGGGACTACTTATTTAGCAGTAAATTTAGTAGTAAATAAAGTTTATCAAGCACATAAAAATATATCCGGACCAACCTAATCATTGCAAGCAAATATCTGTTATCACATGGTCAGCTAAACGGTTTTCGATGTCTCCCTTGCGAATAATTACCGTACAGAGTTCATTCCAGAATTCTTTCCGGAAATCCTACAAAAATACGTGAACTAAATTTACTTTCATTTTCAACCTGATTACTATGTTTCAGGAGGTTTATTTCTTCAAAGATATACATTTCAGTTAAAAGCTAACAGAAGAAAAAATGGGTCGTGGTCGAAGTCGGAGTGAAAGTTCCAGCAAAAGTTGTAGTCGTAGCCGTAGTCATAGTCGAAGTCCTAATAATGGTCATCGCGGCCGTAGTCATAGCAGACGACGTGGTCGTACGAGAAGCCGAAGCCATCATCACGACCGCCGAAGGTACGTTTGGCTTTTTTAACTTAATCAAAGTATACAGATAACAGTGCTGTCAATTTCAACAGTATGGATTTTGTTAAGCGCAAAAAAATGATAAATAAAATCATTTCAGCCGAAGTCGTTCAAGTGATCGAGAAACTACGGATTTGCTAAAACTTTGTTGGAAACCGCTGAAAGATGATTCAAGGAATTTTGATGCATGGACTCATCTTTTGCAATACATCGAACAACTTGTAAGTCTAGATCATTTATATCTCATTTTAGCCTATTGTAGTTGAATTTATGCTAAAATATTGAGAAATTTGCCTTATTCATTTTGCTCAATGCTTTTGTGATGTATAAAATGATTTAGTTCTACCCTTTTTAAGCGTATTACTTCTTATATTCCCTCAACTGTGTCAATAGCTTATAATAAACAGTGCTGGAGATACAATATAGACTTGAATATATACGCAATGAATTATTTCAGAATGAAACAAAAGCAGCTCGCGAAGCATATGATGACTTTTTTAAAAGATATCCATACTGTTATGGTTATTGGAGAAAGTATGCTGAATTTGAACGTCGCCATAAACACTACGACCGCTGCACTGAAGTAGACTATAATTTTGGCATATGATACTTTTCATACTTTTTTGCAGTATTTAACTGTTCATTATTCTGAAGCTAGAGTTTTCAGAGCATTGTTTTTTTTTTTTTTGTAAATTGAAATCCCGCGATTACCAACAAGATAGTGTAAGAGAATTAATTGTTTTCGTATATTTTTTTTATTCCTTGAAATCTTGCAGTTATAAGAAAGGAAAGAGAAGTTGAGAGTAATTAACATTATTAGCGTGAAAACGAAATCACTTTTGAGGTTTATGAACGTGGAGTCACGGCCATACCACTGAGTGTTGATCTGTGGCTTCATTACATTGCTTTTGTTAAAGAAATCGTTCAACATCAGGATAACGCAGTACAGAAAACCAGATTGTAAGTTTAAAACTATATTAATGATCTTTGCTTCATAATTCTTAAAATTTGTGATTAAATCAATACGCTTGTAGAATTTATGATAATGCAATCGAGGCATGCGGTATGGAATTTCGTTCGGATAAGCTGTGGGATGAATATATTAACTGGGAGTTGAGTAATGGTGAAACTGTACGAGCCGGAGCACTTTTTGATCAGATATTAAGCATACCTACTTTGCTTTACAGTAACCATTTTGACAAGTATGTTTTTTTTATGTTGAAAATTACATGGTTTCCTTAGGTTACAAATTTCCTCAATACTGAGATTTTTGACAATTTGTTTTTTTTTATAAACTTTCAATTTACATCCGCTTTAAAATTACTCACTAAGTAAGTTATCGTATTATTTTCATTACCGCTACATTTTATTTCTGGAATGAACTGTATTGATGTAAGAGAATTCCTTTAATTCCAATTCCTTTAATAAATGATTCATACTTTTTCAGGTACAAAATCACCTGCAATTTTTTAAATTGTATTTTATTAAGCGTCTGCATTGTTTTCAGATACAAGACCTTTGTGAATTCAAACGAACCGGATCGAGTGGTGAGTCAGGACGAATACAGCGAAATTTTTGCGAAAGTGAGTAGTAGAATCATTTAAGAGGTAATCCTACTTCATTGTTATGTGAAATCTTATGTGAAAAATTTATTTCAGGTTGAAGCAGACTTGCGTAATACGGTTGATGGTGATCTATTTTTTTTAGAAGACTGCGTCGATGAATCCTCATCGGAATGCATCGCAGAAGGTGGCGAAGAAGTATCGAAAAGGGTTTTTACGAAGCGCAAGGTTTTTTTTTTGATTTGTGAAAGTAATGCATTACTAAAACTTTCCTCTTTGTTCGCTGTTTTTAATTAAATTGAATTTTTTTGCAGCATTGCGAAGAAGCTCTACGTGTTTTACGAACAGAAATACTCGAACGACGAAATAAAAAATATTTATTAAATGAACAGGAAGTTAGTCGACGTTGGGCATTTGAAGAAAATGTATGTTTATTTCAAATTCATTAAATTTTCCATATAATCTTTCCACTGACATTGATTACTTTGAAAAAGACAACTGTATTTCAGATAAAACGGCCATATTTCCATGTAAAACCACTAGAGCGTGCTCAGTTACGTAATTGGCGTACTTACCTGGACTTTGAAATTGAATGTGGTGACATCACACGCATTACAGTCCTATTCGAGAGATGTCTAATCGCTTGCGCTTTATATGAAGAAATGTGGATTAAGGTGAAATCTGCCATTCGACTAGTTGGAAATTAAGCATTAATTTATCATAAACTTAACGACTTCATTCACATGAATTGAAGTTTTTTATCTGTAATTTTATCAACTAAATTTAAGTATGCTCGTTATCTGGAAAGCATTGGAGAATCCAGCCGTGCCCGTAGTGTTTTTCGTCGAGCAACCGAAGTCCATTTACCTCGCAAACCGAATGTTCATCTTGCTTACAGCGCCTTCGAAGAAAAAAATGGTAATAACCACAGCAATTGTGATATTTGTGATATACGAACCGGTGATCTCTTTTTCCGTTTATTCATTCATGTGGTTAAGTTTGATGATAAGCTAAAGTATTATCACCGTCAACAGACAACATTCATTCATGGTGCTCTGCTCGTCCAACAACTAGATAGCAAGTATGGTTTTTAGTAAATAATTTAGAAAAAAGTCGATAATAGTTTTCAAATGCTGTGTGATCAAGGACAAAATCTCTTTTTATTCATTGAAAAATAAGAAAGGTATCATTTTGTCTAAAGTGTCTGGAATTTCATTGGATGTTGGTTTATTCAGATGCAGTCTCCTTTCCACTCAAAATTTTTCCCTTATTCTGTATCCTCGGCCTTCCAGAAGTTCGAAGAAGCCAGATTATCCTTAAATGAGATGAAAAACTTGTTGCAATACACTACAATTCAATTGAGTTATGAGAAAACAATCAGAGTTCATTTTATGGTTGTCATGAATCCTTCAAGTCGATTTTGTTGGCGTGATAGTCTTTTAAAAGAATATCCTAAAAGACAGTTTAATTCTATGATGTAAGGATTTTAGAATTTTTTTAAGGTCGTACTCGTTGAATGACTGCTAGAATTTAGTATATTGTGTGTGTATGT